CAGAATCTTTTTTGTTTGTTTTGTTGCCAGGTTTACTGTTTAACATCACACGAGCAGAGCTCCACGTGGAATTCAAGCAGAGATGCTACAGAACAGTACAACCAGGACATGTGAGTTATAATGTTGTATATATATAAAAAATATATATTTTTTATTATATATATATTTTAATGTGTATTTTATATAATAATTTTACGCAAATATATATTTAAAATATATATAATATATGTATATATATTTATACATATATACATACATATATGTATATGTGTGTATATATGTATGTGTACATATATGTATATGTGTATATATGTATATATATGGTGATGAAGGACACCACCAAGTCCACCTAACTGTGATTAAGGATGACAGTAGCTATTCCCTGATTTGTTTTTTTTTAATTATTATTTATTTATTTATTTATTTTTTTCTGCAGTTGCGATGCCTTAGTTCTGAGGTTTGAAGCTCCAGACTCCAGAAACCGATGGGACAGTCCTCTGTTCACCATCCTCCAAGACGACACGCTGCCGTTTGAAGCCATTTCTGATGCGCTGTTTAAAAGAAAAGCACCTCCTCCCAACCAGTCGACTCAGAGTGTAAGGAACCATGGACACGTTCAGTGACGCAAACCTCCTTATCCTAATCTACCTAATCTACCTAGATTTCTTTTTAATTTTGGTGTTTGAAATAAAAAAAAAATACATTGATTGTTTTACAGCAACCACTGTCTTCTGCAAACTTCCTGTATGAATTGGACAAAATCACTCAAGATGTTTTAATGGTAAGTTTGCATCAGATGTTTAGGCTGTTTTTCTGGTCTTATTCAGCTTCTGTTATCTTCAGACAGTGTTTCCCTTCATTAAAAACGTTGTTTAAACAGCCTGTGAATTACCTTGATGCATATTTGAAATAATTTTTAGGCTATTTTCAACTCCCAGAAGACCAGTGTTCCTGGAGATCTCATAGCAGTTCCTGGAGCAACAGAAAAGATATCCTTCTCTGAAAATGGCATGTGTTTTGTAGGTATGTGTTATTCTGCAAAAAGAACCATGTCATGTGACACATACATATATATTGGCAAAAATGTTTAATGAAGTTTTCCGACATCGTCCTTAACATCGTCTCACATCGAGCTGAACCGAGGCGTCAACATGGCGGAGCTGCGGAAACTACGGCGCCAGTTCATTAGCTACACCAAAATGCATCCGACGGATAAGACGGGCCAGATTTCCAACATGTTTGTCCAGTATTTAAACAAGAGCCTTCACTGACCTCCTTTAAGCTTGGTTAATTTAATTTGTGGCAAATAAAATATTTAAATATTTTTAAATATTTAACCTTCACTGTAATTCATTTTAGATGATAATCTGTACAATGTACAGTAACGAGGAGGAGTAAACGTACAACAGGACACAGTTACCCACAGAACCACCGTGATGATACAGTTTGTTTAAATAGTTCGTACACGACTGTGATCTTACTTTTATTTTGAAAACCAAAGGCTCGTTGGTTGGGTTGAAAGAAAATCTGCAATTTGTTTCAGTAAAGTTGGTTCCGTAGTGTAACGGTTAGCACACCTGCCTCAGAAGCAGAGAGTCCTGGGTTTGATTCCCAGAGGCGCCACAGCCACAGAACCACCGTGATGATACAGCTTGTTTAAATAGTTCGTACACGACTGTGATCTTACTTTTATTTTGAAAACCAAAGGCTCGTTGATTGGGTTGAAAGAAAATCTGCAATTTTTTTCAGTAAAGTTGGTTCCGTAGTGTAACGGTTAGCACACCTGCCTCAGAAGCAGAGAGTCCTGCGTTTGATTCCCAGAGGCGCCACAGATATGTTTCAGTCTCAATGATGTTCCTTTTTTTCGTAGTGGGCACTGGTGCCGAAGATGACGTCCCAGTGTCTGAAGAACGGAGCGTAGTTGCTGCTCGGTCTCTGGTGGTGCATGTCGTGGGCCGGTGCACCGCCCAACAGACCGAAAGGCACTACGTGGTTGAGGGTCCACGGGAGGTCGTAGCCTATGTGGTCCTCCACGGACATCCAGATACTGAAAACTGTGACACACCACGTGGTGAGTGGGTGACAGTTTAAAATAATGGGATCCCAGTGGCTCCACAGACCCACGGTCATGAGTTCTGGGATGCTGAGCTGCTCCGACGCCCAGGAGAAAGGAGCCGTGGTTTCGTGGTGCACTGCATGAATCTGCCTGTAGAGGCGTTTGTCCTTGTGATGGATGAAGTGCCAAATGAAGTACTGTGTGTCGAAGAGAAGGAGAACGGCCAGGCCGTCGACCAGGACCTCGGGGACGGACGGAGCGTCCTGCGGCAGCTCCACCGCCGGAAATATGAAGGTGCTAATGACAACGGCCGGGAGAACGAAGACGAGGTGGTTGGACAACGCCAGGAGGAAACTCTGGCTCATCATTCGCAGCGTTGGCTGCCTGTTCTTTTGGATCTTGAAACGGTGCAGCAGCGGAACCTTCTCTCCCAGGAGATCCAGAACGGTAAACGGCAGACTGAAGAGGAAGTAACTGGAAAACGCAAGAACCACTGGGAAAAAGGGCGACGAGACGAGAGGCCGGTGTTGGAGGAGGAGACGGTCCCAGAGAGGCTGCAGCAGACGGTCCGAGGACCTGGAGTGCTGCAGCAGGAGAGGCAGCGATCTGACGTCCAACATCTTGATGTCTGCTCTGTCGCCATCCACAGAAGGTTCTGCCTTTTTATACAGACTGAAGGAACTTAGCTCATGGCTTTTTTTTTGCTTTTCTTCCCTCATCGGCCACAAAAAGATTTAAAGAGTTCAGGAAGGAATAATAATAAGCCTCAGATTTATGGGTATTAACCCGTGCAATCAGTCAAATGGTCAACGTGTGGCTAGTATTCCGAGCCAAACGTATTAACGAATGTGGTTTTCTTTTCCTTCACTGTGGTTTTTTTTTATATATTTGTTTGTTTGTTAGGTAGGCTGGCTCCATCCTCACCTACTGCCCTCTGGGATTGGCATCAGCCGATGACTGAACGTTATAACAAGCCACTGACTGGCTCTAAAATGAGTTTCCAAGGTTTTACATGTGAAAAGGAAAGAATTTTTGGTTCATGTCTCATCATTTCACAGACTCTTCAAGTCTTTCTGATTTCATTTATTTCACATATTTATTTATCCCCCCACCCCATTTCATTTATTTCACATATTTATTTATTTTTTTCCCCCCCTGGACAAATCAACTTCTCGAATGACACAACTGTTGAAATCCCAGACGGAACAAAGTCCTGTGTCTTAATCCACAGCTAATCTTCAGATTTCTAATCCCAAACCAGAGAATTACCTCACAGAGGATTATCTCACAACACGATTTCCTTTCTGGATTTAATCCAAACCGTGATACAGGAAGCGTGACTGGTGTATCACAGAGTGAACACCGAAGCCTTTCCTCCGCCGGTTTACTTCTTGTCTCCGGCTGCTCTCCTCGAGACAGTTTTGTTGGTGTTGGCATATTTATGTCGGTCGTTCCTTAAGAGGAAGAAGAGGTTTTACATATTTAATAACATAAATGTATTTTTTTTTACCTTGTTGTGTGTCCAGTACCTGGCCATCTTGACCTTGTTCCTGCAGCCTTGTCCTCCCTCCCAGTGACTGGTGCGAGCGCCTCTCGTCAACATGCTGCCACAGCTGACACAGGGCTTCCCGTTATTGTAGGGCTGCCAGCACCGGGTCAGGCGGAGATTGGGTTTAAACAAAGAGATGAAAGTCTGAAACCTGGCATCAGCTTGATGGATTCACGTATGCAGTTTCAGGAGTTGCCAACAGGGGATTACGTTACCTCGATAGACCCTCGAACCCAGCTGCACTGGTCTACTACTATAAAAGTTCATGGCCAGTGCAAATAGGAAAGTACATTTGTGAACCCATCAGTTCCTCTGACTGCACACTTGTCTACTGTTAGTGTTGATCTTCTTGATTTATGAATTCAAAAACCTTTCTTTCTATGGGGCTAAATGACGGTGACTAAATGTATCGATGGCATTGTTAATTAATTAACAATGGCGTCAATTAGGACAAGAACCAATCAGAGCTCGACACCAACCTGTTCTTTAGCACAGTAGCCACACAGCATTCTGGTGGCCAGTTCCATGGGGTGGTCCTGGTCCTCATCGTGGCACGCATCACAGGCATACGCCCGACCGCAGCAGGGAAACCTGGGAAGGTGAGTAAGAAAAGAGTTTTTCTTTCGCATCTTAAGGCATCTTTTACCACACAACGCTGCCCCCTGCAGCTGTAAGTGGTAGTTACACCCACAGAAAGAGAAATTATACCTCAGCCAGCGATGACTCTGCTTGTAATGTTTGCAGGTTCCCTTGTCCGGCAGAGGCTTCCCTTTCTGGACAGCAGGGTCTCTGAACATCTTGTAGTTCACCGTACTTGTACCTGCAGAGAGGAAGTTATCACCGTAGTCTGAACTTTTCCAGACAAGGTCACTGACAAACCCATTACTGACCTGTTTTGTTGCTGTGTGGCTGAAGATAATGGAACTTGATGCTCTCAGCCTGAACACTGAGTTTACTGTGACAGTGTTCACAGTTCAGCTCCCTGGTTTGTCCATAGGAAAGGTTCTGATGAGAAAATGAAAATTAGACTGAACTGGTTATTTCAGAGCAGCACTGAGATCATTAGAATTCCCCCCATTTGACTCCGCCCCCTTTTCTCCTCTTCTTTAGGGAAAACAAAAATCCTAACCACTTTATTTTGGTAAATATTGAAATCACTGTTACCAATTTAGATAAACTTTATTTTGGTAAATATTGAAATCACAATTGTTACCAATTTAGATACATATTTAGCTATAGTTTTATCTAGCATTTGGAACGTTGAAGCTGATATATTTTTGGCTAACCTGTAGCTAAACTCTAATAGCTATAGTTTTATCTAGCATTTGGAACTTTGAAGCTGATATTTTTTTGGCTAAACTCTAATTCTAATTAAAACAAAGCATTTATATTCTTTAGAAGATAACGTCTGACTCTTGACCTGCAGGAGGGTATCCTGGGAGCAGCTGAGGCAGCCCACGATGAGTTCACAGTCCTGGAGCACCAGGTCTGAAGGCACCACGTTGTGAAGGTCCAGGTATCCCAGAACATCACAGTAATGGTGCAGCATGCACGGTCTGAAGGCGGCGCTGATGCTGGAGCTGCACTTTTCACACTGAGCTGCACACGCTGTCCTTCCACTCAACGTCAGGTCCGCGGTTATTTTACACCTGCAGGGGCAGCAGAGAGTCAGGCCGGTTGACACCAGGGCAAAAGGACTCTCAAGGTGATTTCTTCTTGATTTTTAATTTAGTTACAAAAGGTAACGTAACACTTCTTTACCTAAGAAAATGAACCTTTTCTAACAACTACATCACTGCTCTGCGGAACTTTTCAGTCTCCTGTCCCTTCTTTAATGGATAGAAATTAGTTTAACGACTCACTTTTCATTAAAATTCTTGAAATCTGCTTCTATCAAGTGTTAACTTGTTGTTGCCTTGTACGACATACAAACTATGTTTTGAACGTTTTTCACTCCTCACTTAACTTAGAAGCCATGCAGATGTTTTTTAAAGTTTCTAGGGAAACTTTCAATTTTTTTTTGTTGTAAAATTTTAGTTTTGTTTTTGTTATTTATGAACCGCTAAAGGTTAAAAAAAAACTCTGGATTTTTTCTTCCTACTTAATATCTTCACCTCACCTGTTACACTGAAAGCAAACTGATATCTGCTGAGCCACGACGGTGGCCGTGTTCTCCCCCAGCCTCAGTCCCAGCACTTTCACCTCGGTGCCTCTGCGAGGATTGCTGAGCTTAATGTTCTCCACGAGACGAGCGGCCTCCGTCTCCAGCTGAACTTCATCTTCACCTGAGGGCAACGTCTTTCCTCCATTCTCTCCACCGTTGTTTTGCAGCTCGGTTTCTTCCAGTTTCCCATCATTGGTGTCTTCAGTGTCTGCCTCCGTATCTTCTTCATCATCTGGGGATTCACCCACGGACGCCTGGAGCTCCTGGTATGGAATAAACTGCAGTCCAGCCTTTTCTAAGTCCATGTCTTTTTTTAACTGCAAAAAAACAAAAACAAAAAACATGTTGATTCAAATGGTTGTTAAATTTAAATGGAACCCTGGTTGCCATGGTAATCTTGTGCCGCTGCAGGTTATCCCCTCACCTGCCGGGCTCCTTCAGTGAACAGCCGCTCCAAACTGCGATCCAGCCAACGGAGAAAAGGCCTGAAGAGCAGCTCTACTTTTCCCATGATCCCATTGGTGGCGTGTTTGGCCTGGAGCCACTCCAGAGATGCCTGTTGGACGTGTCTGCACAGGAAGGAACAGGGTATGGGACGTCAGCGCCAATCATACAAAAACAATACATTTAAGAAAGAAAATATGTTAATATCATTTTTGTACTTTGCCATTACAGGTGGTAGTTCCTGGTCCAAAGGAATCTCCAAGGTAAAAATCTAAAAAAAAAAATGTATTGAAGACAGAATTAACTACTCTGTCAAATCTAAAACGTTAGAATGTAAGGCTTTATTATTAGATCAATAGTAGGGATGTCCGATAATATTGGCCGATCGATATTATCTGCTCGATATGAGCATAATTATGCAATACGTAAGAATCGTGATTCGTTTTTCTTCCGATAACCGATAATATCGGCCGATCGATATTATCTGCCCGATATGAGCATAATTATGCAATATGTAAGAATCTTGATTAGTTTTTCTTCCGATAATGAAAACCCGATACCGCAATGCAATGGTTTTTGTGCCCTGAAAAATAGTTTTGGGGACAAACGGCTGTTTATGAAAGTGAAAGTCACTAGATGGCAGCATTGCAGCTCATTTTATTAATCAGGGGACTTCATGTAGAATGCTGGTGCCAGCAACTCATACAGTGGTTTGTACAGATAAATAAATAAATATTACCAGGTCTGTAGGATAAATAAATAAATATTACCCGGCCTGAAGCGGTGTTGGTTGATATCGGAATAGGAAATTAAGTGTTTGGACAATGTCGGCAAAAACGTTAATATCGGACATCCCTAATCAATAGTTGTTGTTGTTTTTTACCTCTTGTGGGTAACTGTCTGGGAAGCTCACCATGATGTCAATCTCTTTAAGGTCAAAAGGCTGTGGGTTCAAATACAAAGTATCATCAAATTAAACATTTGTCATTTGGAGTTACAAATTTAAGAAGCTAAGTATAATCTAATATAACTAAGTATAAATATTTAATTAATATTTGAAAATATTTAATATTTACTAGGTGCAACAAAAATATTACCCAGTCTGGATCAGTGGCTTCAACTGACATTCTGTAGTACGTGACTTTCCCGTCGCTCCTTTCCTGAATAATCACTTTGTCTTTGGGGAAACGCTTCATCAGCTGCCTGATCTCTGTCTCCCGCAGCTTCTGTCCAACATCCTCCGTCAGATCACACAGCTTCACCTCCTGAAGAACAGCCGGGCGCGGCACCTGGGGTTTCCTCTGAACTGATCTGGTCTGATTGGAAGAAACCGACGAAACTGACGTGTCGTCCAGCGTGGGGAACATCGTTGGATGCCAAAAACGACACCTGTCCTCCATGGCACAGTGGCCTGACAGGTAGTAACGACACGGGCGGCGGTGAACCGCGACCGCTGTGTGCCCCACATCTTCAGAACAGGCCTCTGATGTTACAGGTGTGCCTTCATGATGGATTGGTAACCTGTTTGATTTCTTCTCCTGCGCTGCTGCATCATCTCTTACATGAAGAAATTTACATTTCTTGCCAAAATGGCAGTGTTTTCCCTGAGAGAAGAATCGGCAGCGTGGCGGCTCAGTTTGGGGAAAATGCTGTGATTTATCCGTCTTTTCCTTCTCAGCATTCTCCATTGTTACAGTAACCTGAGGAAATGAATGAAATTTAATGATTTTGTTCAAAGTGTAGGTTCATATTGAATTGTTAGATGTTCAAATGCCATGGGTGGAGAAACGAACGGTCCACGAAGACGCCAGCCTGACCTCATCTGTCGACCTGTTCAACATCACTGCAAACAAGAAGGTGCTCAAGGCCGATTCCTGTTGTACCCCACCGCCTCCTCTCAACCCATCTGACCCTCTGACTGCACACCTCACCAACCAACTCAGGTAATTTCCCGAGACACCTGCAGTCATACTATAGTTCACAGCAGAGGCCACATATTTATTTGATGATAGTACAGCAGAGGCCACATATTTATTTGATGGTAATAGAATTTATTTATTTTATTTCACATCTACTAAAATCCTCAGACAAGCAATTATGAAACACCCATTTTTTGCACGTGCTTAAGTAAAAAATATGCCTGTCTCTAATTAAGCGACTTGGGAACGAATTCGATGGTTTAGTCATTAAGTCTCTCATTGGTGAATACCTGGTTTAGGCCGTGCTGTTAGCTAAAAGAGTTTACTTTTTAAGAAAGCAAACCTAAGCAAAAAGAAATATAACCCGTGTAAACTAAAATTAGCTCGTAGAGCTACATTTCCTGTCCTACTAATCTAAGTTAGCGGTGTCATCGCTCACTTACCCTAATACAGAATAGTAATCCGTCTCCCTATTTCGACTTCCGTTTAATAAGTTGAGGATTTTAAACCAAAAGTGTAAAAATAGCTTTTTAAAAACGGTGTATTTCAAAGCGTACCTGTTCAAAGTGCAGCTTTTGAACCCCTTCCTGTTTTTCTCCTTCGACGGTGGCTCGTTTAACAGTTAATGGACCGTGCTGCCATCTTCTGGCGCAGATTAAATATTACACTGGTTCCATAACATTTATACTGACTATTAGCAACTCCTGCTGCTCCTCTGACTACAATACTCGGTACTGACTTTTGCTTTCCAATAAAAACCCCAAACAAACAGAAATGAACCTGTTACAGGATAATTATTTTTATTTATGTACAGAATAGACTTAGTGACAAAAGTACAGTGCAGACGATGTACTGCCACGGCGATGGTAAAATTATTTCAAGCATTTTAAACGCTGAGTATCTTGGGTGGTAGCGGTGGTTCCAGTACAGCTTCCTTGTGAAGATGTCTATGGTGGCGACGCATGATTTCAGCAGCCCTTTGTCCTAGGGAGGAGGGAGTGATTCCAAGATCCTCCAGACCAGGAAGTCCTGGGTGCTTCATGTCTGTGAGGTGCAACTGTAAAAGAATGATGCCACCAAGAATTAAAGTTAAAAATGTCCATGTTTGCCTTAAGCACTAACAGACACACAGGGGAAGGTCTCTTACCCTGTCCACTTTTTCTGGGCTCGTCCACGCCTTGTATGGGTTCATTGCAAATGTCCGAGCCAAAAGGCTGAGTAGGAACAAGAGATAATAAATGTAATTTCCCATTCTGGGCTCAACCAAGTATCACTATCTATCCAATTGTGTTCTTTAAAATCACCAATGAACAGGAAGTAACAAAAACCTACTGGTAGAGTGGACGGGGGATGGAGTAAGGGTTAAAAGGCCGGTATATCACACCGTAGATGTACTCCACCAGGTCATGAAGGAGATAATGGTCGGGGCTGTAAACACACCACAACAACAAAGAGTACAGACATGAACCACAACTTATTTATCTTCACGTGTGCTGTCAGTGCCCAGACACAGCTTGTCTCTGGAACCTCAGCTGCTCAACACCCACCCGACCAATGCAAACGTCTTTCCATTGGCGTCGGGGTCACTCGCAGCACTGAGGATGGCCTTAGCCACGTCCACCACCTGAGAGACAAAAGAAAAAAAAAGACTTTATAGGGTTGAGGAGATACATTCTTTCTAGTGCTGGACACAAAGTAAATTGATTAACTTCTATAAACAAATATATGGATAAAATGAAATTGAATACCCAGTGGGACAAACTTACATAAACAGGCTCTTTCACTGTCTTCTTCCCAAGGTCAATCATAGGAACGGTGTCACCAAACCAGCTGATATCTGAAAAAGGACGTGGGTCAATCTTTTATAAACTTCATAGATAAATAATTATAGAGAAACCGTCGTGAACTATGTGAGGTCTATAGTACTGTATGTCTCACTACTGCCTCTCACCTGCAAAGTAGTTTAAGAAATTGTCCTCCTTCCCAAACATATCAGAAGGCTTCAAGATGACGGCGTCTGGAAACTCCTCTCTGACCGCATGCTCTCCTACGGCCTGCAATAAAGACAGAGACACACAGTCATGTGAGTGATGGTGTCGACGATATCATAAAAGCAGATTCAATAAGTCACTTTTAAACATTTGAATTCAGGAACACTGACTGATAAAATGAATAAAACATTTTGTTCATCAGGGGGATTGAAGGCTCAACACCACAGAAACCCACCTTGCTCCTCAAGTACTTGGATGAGCTCCTTATGTCGGCGTTGAGGTGGGAAACGTGGATCAACTTTTTGATTCCCGCCTCTTTGGTGGCCTTGGCAATCCGCTGAGGAATGTCAACATAGACCTCGTCAAAGCCAAAGTTCCTGCAGACAAGGACGACCAAAACACACGTTTACTCATAAACATATCTGTTTATCATATATGCTAAACAAATATAAATCAATTGTTTCATTGTACATTAACTAACTGTGGTTTCTCTTTCTCTCTTTTTTTTTTAAATGTGATTGTTTGTCCTTCTCCTCACCTCGTCTCATACTCCTTGCCTACCAGGTTGATGACCACATTAGAGTGCTCAATCGCCTTCATGATCGTGTCCTTATTTCTGGGATCCCACTCCTGCATAAGAGGTAAAAAAAAAAAATTTCACAATGAGTATTCATCGTCTGTGCTCGAGTATTTCAAGGTACAGCTTGTGTGTCTGTGCAGCAATCAATATACCATGAAAAAGAACTGTCCCAGATCGGCCATGGGCTTCATAAACATGATGTAGTACGGATCACAGCGGTAAGGGACTACAACCTGGGAGCCAATTCGACCTGTATTCATTTCAAGGAAATTCAATTGCACAAAAACAACATGTGAACGCAAGGCACAACTAATGAAGTTTTTGATGCATCCCATACATTTGTTAGCATGTAAATATTATAATACTCACCCAGGCGATTAACTACATATCGTCCCAAATAGCCAGTGGCACCAAACACCGTGGCGGCTATTCCACTTGCAGAGGAGCGTCCTCCCTTTCCTTGGGGGATGATGGCATAGTGCAGCTTCCTCTGTTGACCAGCAGAGGCAGCAGCAGCTATAGCAGGGGAAAGGCTACCTAATGGAAATGAAAAAATAGTAACAACACTAGCATCAGACTGTCAGACTAACAAATAACAAACACGTTTGCTACAATAACCACCAATGGCCCTATATTGTCCTTTATTTCTGCGTTCATATAGGTGACTTTCCATTTTAAGTGTATGTTTTTCCATTTAATAATGTTTTCCATCCACCCATCATCGTCCACTTATAGTGTTTTCTATTTCAATTTAGAATTTGATTTAAACCAAGTTGTTGAAATCAAAATATCTTATTTTCTTCTTGCCAACAGCATCGACGTAACTCCATCAGTTAAGTGTATGGACCTGAAGCAACGTTGTGGCGCTTGTAAACACAGGAACGAATCTCACTCGCGAAAGGTAAGACAGCGATTACGGTTTGCAAACGTTGCGTCACGTTACGGTAACCTGAAATGAAATAAATACATTTTAATCTATTCTTCTATCTCTCGTCTTCTCTCGAGCGGCGTTTTAAGTCGTCAGATATTACAGGGGCTAATGACAGGACGCTACACTTTAGATGCTACCACAGGCTAAGCGCTTGCTAGCACGTACGTAGCCGAGACGGTTAAGAAGGTCACTAATTTCTCGGCTGTGGTTCAAATTTAATCCAGTTTTTGGATTGTCAGTGTAATAGTCTGCCTCTGATTTACCCTACATGCACGTGTTAATGTATATTGACAGAATGACAAAAGGTTACTCACTGGAAACCTTTGGAAGGACACTCGCAGGACGAGAAACCAACGCTACGGTCGCCATTCTTACGTTTACGGCGAATCGCGGGGGACAAAATAGAAAAGATCCGCACAACTGAAAGCTGTTTGTTTCTTTAAAACGATGAAAGAATGACTGATATTCGCATTTAAAGCACAGATTATAGACGTGGAAATATATATAAGTTATTGTTGTTGAAATCATGGAGTCGAAGTTGAAGTTGAAGTCATGAGGTGTTTATGGTATTTTTTATAAAGTAAGTCGTTTTTTGGAAATTCTGTTGATTAGATTTGTTGTTTTGTTTAAGCACAACAAATACAAATTTGTTCTGAAACATTTTGGCGAAAAAAGATATAATGTTGAACTTCGCCATTATTGCAATCCTATGTATTTTTGTATGATTATATATATATATATATATGTGTATATATATATATAT